CAAACGCTGATATGACACCGGCAGCCAAATTGACTCAAAGTGCAGGGGGCCTATTAAGGGGCTACTTGGGGTGTGAAATCAACGACCATACCAGATAGGCCGCAGCGTCCCTGCTGGTGCTGTTTGCTGCACAAGTGGAGAACCCCTTGACAGTGGTCCAGGAGTTGTCACTGCTCTGCAGAAGACACAGACGTGGTCCGAGTCTTACTTTTTATTTTGCCGCAATCAAAACACCCAAACAGACTTTATTCAAAATATTCAACTAAACAACAAAAAATGCAAGTTCAGTCAGGCAAACTGGGCCCCTTTGTCACTGTGGGCCCAGGGCAGCCGCACCCTCTGTCCCCTCACTCAATCTGCTACAGATCTTCTCAAAAGCCAAACAAAGCATTGATGCAAAATCATGCCATTTAATGCCGAAGAAATGTGATGAAAAATGTAAGCGGATGGAATGTCTGCATGTCTTGTGTTACTATCATGACATCATCTGTCACACCCCTATGTTTACTGCATCCTAAAGTCTGTGACAACAGTGTCTAGAAGACACCTTTCATCAAAGGTACTCTTACCTCGGTCTGCTGGGGACTAACTGCTAAGGGTCACATTCAGAAGCATGCAGCTCACAACTGTACGATTCCATCTAGCACATTTCAATTATTCACAAAGCTTGACCAAGCACTCTTACATGCACATGTGGTGGTAGTTAAAAAGGTTCATGCTTTTTCCTGCTCATATGCTCATCAATGGTATATGCTACCGTTGAACCCACTCACCCTGGCCAGTGTACCAAAGATTGGCTTTTATGTAAGTACATTTATTACATAAGATTGCAGAGGCTGAGCAGCTCACAAATAATGCCTAGAAGTTGACTGGGCACTTTTTGATGTGGCTTTATAAATGTGCACCTCCCTGTTCACAATCACTTGAAGCCACATTCAAAGACAAAAGGCTGCAGTAAAATGAATACCGAGGAAATGAATGGAATAACTGGCTTTTCACTCCACCTTTGAGTGTGGCTGTTAGGAAGACAACTAATACCATTGATTTCTGACATGATCAGACAAACACTGAACAAACTAGTTCTGGTTGAGCATAATGACCCTTAGTAAGGCTTGCTGTAACTCTGTAGTTGGCTGCTGAATTAACTTTTGTTTAAATGATGGCTGTGGTGGTGGCTGCAAGATAAAAGAATTTACATTTTAACAATAATGTTTTCCTTGGTGTGTTGTCGGCATTTTCATCTTCAATATCCTCCCTTCTACACTTTAGAATAACTTAAGAGTGGAACCTTTGACCACAGTTTAACCTTCAAAACCAATCACAAATTTTCCTAGTTTAACATTTTGGAAAATTTGCTTTTTTCCTTGTCGTCATCACCTTGAGATTAAAACAAGAATTTCTGGCTCAACCTACTCCTTTTGATTATGGATAAATACAGCTCATACGTCAAGGTATAGATATGTTTGGTCGTCTTAGATAGTTTTTCAACTTCTAAAAATCTTTCGCACTTTCATGTGCTGAATGACAGCCCTGAAGAAGGCCCCCTGTTTTGTACACACCAGTTTTTCGTACAGACAGATTTTGTTACTTTTGGAGAGAGCTGTGTCTGCAAATACTAAACTAAGTGGCTACATACAGTATTTAATGTACATACATGAAAGTGCTTTGGAGATCCTCATCTAATCCTTGTCAAGAGAGCTTAAAAACGTTCCCAAAATGCCAAACCATTCCTTTAAGGTGGATCATAAAAACACAATGATCCACCACTGTTTGCCTCACCTGCCACAGAGATGATAAAGGAAGCATCCATGGCATCGATGCCCAGGGTTCTGGCTCGGGCAGACAGATGAAAATAGGGGATGAAATAGGCCAGTTGGCTGAAGACCACGGACCAAGTAAAGATGCAAAAGAATGGGTCCTTTAACAGGGAAAAATCCAGTATTTTGGCTTTTCTTACAGTCACCTCACTTGGTGTGTTATTATGTGAGGGAAATCCAACAATGGTGGACCCATTCACGCTGCCATTGAGCTCTGATAAGTTGTCTGGAGCTGTGGGTTTACAATGGCCCAACTCATGGTGAGGCTCATGGCCATTTACATCATTGAAGACCAGTCTGGTCAGTTCAGGGTTCGCTGACTGGTCCTGGGGTCCCTGAGCACATTGTTCCCCTAGATTCTCTGTGTCCCTTTGAGAGGAAGGAGATGATTGGAGTGAGCCTGATCTGGAGATGCCATTAAATAAGTGAGAGGAGCCATTCAAGCCGTTCTTATTGTATTCCTTGTCTGTGGAGCCCTTGAGGGAAACAGCAGGGCTCGTTTGGATGGGAGAAGAGGTAGGGTTTGACACAGGAGGTTTCACATTGATGGGTCGCAGAAGCATGCCAGACGCCACCAGATTCAGCATGAGACCGCCAAGAATTAGGATCGCGCCTGTGGGAGACAAAGGCCTCAAGTAAATACACCAGAAAACATTGTTGAATCCAATCAAAGAAATGCAATTGTGGCCTAACACCGTCTGGTTATTAACAGATTTGACCTGCCTACCTTGCCAAGCATATTGGTCCAGAAGCAGCTGAGTGAACGGAGCAAGGGCAAAGGTCAACCCCATCCCAGAACGCCCAATCGCATACGCTGTTGCTAACCTCTTTCGAAAATACAGGGCTGTAACCACTGAGAAGGACTGGTATAATAGTGCAAAACCCATTCCTGACAGGAGTAAAGAACATTGTCATTACGAAACACTGCGTCAGTTACAAGATTGTAGGCAGACAAGTGAAAATCATCAACAACCAGTGAAATAGATATCCTCATGCAGAGCGTAACCTTGGTCTTATGGTTTCAGAGTCATCAGGGAAGTCAATGAGGTATCACACATTTTTACTCACCAACTATCACTCCCATGCTGATGTAGAGGAACACCACACTGTTGGCAAAAATACTCATGAGGAAGCCTGCACTAACTAGCAATGCCCCGGTGATGGAGGTCACCCTGGGTCCTACCTTGGCACAGGCCACAGAGGCAATGGGTGCTGCAGCAGATACAGGAACAAAAGCACAAAGACTTACGATCTCTTTCTAGTGTAAACATACAGATAGTAAAAGCACTGGTCTCCAGTTACAGCTTTAAGTTGGGATGTGAAGGAGAGAGGACACAATTATATGAGACAGTATTCTCTTCACATGCAGTCTATGGTCTCTACAAAGAACTAAATAAGTGATGGAGACAGAGTTGGCTTTTTTCAGTTCAAACCTCCAGATAGACGCAGACACGACATGATGGACCCGATCCAGCTTATGCTCTCTGCCGAGCCTCCAAACTCATCTTGGAAAGCCACGAAGAAGAGCCCAAAGCTCTTCAGTGTCCCCATGACTAGAACATTCACCTGAAATCACACATTTAAAAAAAGTATGAAGTAGTTATGGCATGGTGCACCATATACCCCCACAAGGCACTTTAAATATTAAGGTCTAGACCTTACATTATTATAAAAGGAAACCCAACAAATTACCCCTTAAGCAAGCACTTGGCGACAGTGGGGAGGAAAAACTCCCTTTAATGGAAGAAACTTCCAACAGAACCAGGAAAAATAAAATTATAACTTCAGAAATAGAAATGACGAATTATCACAAACAAACAAGGTGGACATACCAGGAAGCAATGCAGCACCACCAACCAGCCCCAGCCTCCATCTGGAGGGTCCTCATACTGAATATCTTTATTTTTCTCATTCGCTGTGGTCATGGCATCCTTCCTGAACAGGTTCATGGCTACCTGGCTTTCACCAAGAGAAAGGAAAGAAAGCTAGCAATTAATTTAAAGTATCATCAGCTGCCTAATCAGAAGCTTCATCTGATTGCATGACATGAATGACCTGTCTTCATGTGAAGAAGGTTGATATAAACACGGTTACAGTTGGGGTGGATTTAGTAATTTGGGGGCCCTAGGCAAACACAAATATGAGGGCCCCCCCCTTTGCTCTATTTTCACTGATTTTCTAATTAGAATGTTATTGTTATTAGGGATTCTGCCGTGTATTTTTTGCTATTTGAAGTTTCCTTTTAGAAATAAAAATACATTATGATAAGAGTATTGTTTGATTTTGATTTTTAAATGCTAAGACATAAGCAAAAAAAAAAAAAAAACTAAACTTTTTTTTATTCTATAAGGTCAAAACGCCAGGCATTAAGTTAAAATGAAACCACAGGGAGTGGTGATGAATGAATGGTATTTTGTACAAATGGTTATTACCATTAGGGAATTCTGTCTTCAAGGTGAATTAGGCTACTAGACAATATTTACTGTACATGCTGCATATTTTTGTTTTGTTTCCAGGCTCATGGTCACAGTTTTTGATAACTTGTAATACAATGAAGACAAGTCTATAATGGATTAGATGACTGAAGATCACCAGTAATCACCGCATGCCACTAAATGTAATCCAGGTTTTCTCAAAATGTTACAAGGAGCTGCAGTTTTATCTGTTGCTTGTGGCTACTTGTACTGTAGGTGTTTTTCCTCTGAGTTTATTAAATAACTGTAACTATCACAAAACAGCAGGATGGATATCCTCTCCAAAGTGAGAGAGTTGTGCATTTAGACATGTGGCACAGCAGTGAAAAGAGCAGCAACAGGTAATGTTTCATTAAGCATTAGCAACTAACACTCCAGCATTAAATTCCAGCTTTTAAACTGGAGCGGACCACCAGCTAACTAGGTGGAGGAGAAATGGAACTACCTGAGCTATAAGTTTTTTTTAGGTCAATGCACGCCAACTTATTTTTCTGACCCAGTGAGTTTTAAAATAACGCTATGAAACACTAGTCATGAAGGATGAACTTGAGTCTTGACAGTCAGGACAAGAGGAAATTGTCCACCATGGATTTAATAACATGGATGTTTTTGCACAGAGTGAGAAGAGTAAAAATCATCTGGTTTATGGTAAGACAGGCCTGAGTATGTGTTCATATTTAAGGGCTGGTTTTCTATTGTAGACTATCTGAATGTTATCATTAGCCCAAGTGTTGGTAGCTGTCAATCATGAGTAACGTCAGGTATGAGATACGGCGCAGCAACTGTGGATGGATGGATCTGGTGTTGTTGGGTCTGATTTGTTTCTCCACAAGACAACACTGACTAATTTTACTAACAGTCCTGTCTGATACAACTTTGCACATTGCAGTCAAATATGTGACAGTGATCTTTACTGTATAATGGCAGGAACTGCATTGTTAATGCAGTGTGCTTCTTTTATATGTTAAGATCTTTTAACCATTTACTAACCAACAACAGCTGTTTAGCAGAAAAGAAGACATTGGTTTAAACAAGAAAATCACTTTGAATAAAGGTAGTGAATTTTACATAATGAGCAGGATTAACCTTGTTAAAAAGGAACATATAAGACTCAGTGTATTCATGCATGAGCTTGACCAATGACATACAGACTAGTGAATGATTACCAGTGAAACACAACTTTCCGATAAATACGAGTCAGTACTCAGATTTTGCAAGTTCAGTGATGGCTGATGTCAACAGATTCTTTAGTGAAAAATCAAAAGCATGTCTAGTCTCTTTGGTGCTCTGTTAATCTAACTCCAGGACACTGTCACACACTGAATGCTGTCACCAGATCTTATACCACTGATTATATTGTTAGGAGAAAAAACAAACCATAAAAACATGTACTGTATATTTTCCCACTTGTCCTAACTGGTATACAAACAGGCAGATACTTATATTTTATTTGACAGCTTACCTTGCACATAACATATACAATATGTATAATTTAACCATCACATTAAAGCTACATGTATGATTATTGCATAAACATCATCACTATACTTCGACTATTTCCAACCATAGTTCAGAGTTGCTGACTGCTTTACTATTTGAGAATGCTGTACTCTTTATCAGTGGATAAAAATCAATAAATTCTTATGGACAGCACTAGCATATAATGCACTAAGGTGTTTATAGCCTGTCTGTTTTAAATTGAGTTGGTTTTACCATTTGGTACCATTTATCACACACTGCTATAATGTATTTGCATTTCCTGACACTTTTTTCATCTCATTTGTGACCTTTTCTCCATTTTCATCTTCTGCCCTCTGTGGTGCTGAACTCTGAAACCAGAGTGTGACTGTACAAACATGAACAGACCTCTGTGTACTAATGAGGATGTGCTGATTCAGCAGTAAATTACTTATATATCATGTATCTTAAAGAACCCATGATGTGCTTTTCCTTGTTTTCTGACTTGTTACAACAGTGACCAATGAAGCACCCTGGGGAGGTGACTGATCAGCTCATCACAGCTGGATTCTAGAGGTACACAAGATTAATCATTAAATGGCTGGAAATGAGCATACTTAATTAAATTGTAGTCATACTAAAGCATATTAATGGTTTACTCTGTGTTTGTGTAGTTTACACAGCCCTAGATAATATTTTATCTGTTTGCAGAGACTCATCTGTATCAAACTGGTTAAACTTGATAAAATATACTTATCAGTGAGGCCTAAGTAAACAGGCAATGTTAAGTGTGTGCAAAAACAGAAATGCTATTATTAGTCTGTTATACCTCTATAATGAAATGAAACCATATAGATAATTTTGCTTTGGCAGTACAACATGAATGTGAGTCTGCCGTAGTTGCAATAGTCTATAAAAATAAACAATCTATAACAGGACTGGCACAGACTCTGTCACATTAGACTGCTGTTAAAGCTGTCCAAACACTGAAAAAGGATGTGACATGGCACTGTGTGTGTTATACATAGCACAGACTGTGCTAACAATGCCTGATGGCAATGCTACGTGACATTTTGCAAAACTAATTGCTGACATGGATAGAACAATGAGTTATGCATTTGCAAACACACTGCATCATTGTTCCTGATGGCAGACTGTGCACACTCACGGGGCAATGCTGGAGTCAGACCTGCCAGGTGTTCACACAGTAGCAGGAAAAGCCATGCCTGAATTTGTCAACTGAAGTGAACGAGAGGAGTAAATATTTTATAGAATGAGCCCAGTGTCTTGCCCAAGGACACGTGGACTGCCGGCACCGAGATTCAAACCTTCAACCTTCTGGTTGGGAGACAACTGCTCTACCCACTGCACCACTGTCACCTCTCTACCTGTGAGATAACAAGGCTGACCATCTTAACAAGTTAAATAAAAGTTTCATTAGAGTGGAAAACTGATTACATATCAGTTGAAGAAATGTTATTTAACTAAAGATTCCAGCTACTACACACAGGCAGGTTTTAACTATACATGTAAACATGTCAACACAGTATTGCTAAGCAATTATAGTGGGACGTGTCTGTAGCTGTTTTCAAGACTAGGTGCGTCATCTTGAAATATTAAACCTTGGCTGAATGTCTAATAAATACAATATAACCTAGGCTCAGATGCTGAAACGAAAAGACACCTTGAACAAAGTAGGTCATAGTGAACCTGTGTTTATCACCAGTCTTTTGTAGCCTGCATCACTACTTCAGTCTACAATGTATAAGAAGCAGAGACCAAATTACAGCAGATTAAAAGGGGAATGAATTGGGCCAGTGTACTCCAAGGAAAGTATTTTCCCCCATGTGCTGTTCACAAGTTGTCCTCACAGTGTGCTTAAGTGCATGTTTGCAAATGCGCTGGGAGACTGAGGGTTTGAGTGAAGGGGGATTGGAACTCAGCACTTTATAGTGAGGCATGCCAATGCACACTTACACCAGGACATCCAACTTTACATTACTTTAGGCTACTTGGTGAACAATGTTATCCAAAACGTTTGTCTATTTGACCTACATTTATAGAGATATAAATTAAAGTATTTTCTGCAGGCCAAAAAGTATCAACAATCAATAAGGCACTACTAAATGCTCTTTTCACCTCTAAGAAAGCCTGATTTTTAAGTCCAAGTCTGTGTATGACATCTGGACTGATCAAACTGAAAAGAAGTCTAAAAGCATCCCCTTCTTTAAAGAAAGAAAAGTTAGTTTTAGAATTCAACACTCTACAGTTGAAGTTCAGTGTGTCTCACTTGCTCCCTGTGCTTGTCATTTCCTGTGGCCCCAATATGCACCACACACATTTTGGTTATGGAAGCTAACTGCACTAAGCTTTGGAGATCAGGGTCAGCATGTTATGGAATTAGCCAGCAGACATCGTCCTTCTTCTGCAAGTACTTAATGATCAACTCTTAAAAGACAGAATATTGCCCACCTGATGACCCTGTAGACTTGCCTTCACGCCTACATCCACACAGAACTTGTATTCATGTTGGTGATAATATAGTTACAGACTCACTGGAATTGTTAACAGCCTTATTTTGTTAGCCAATCCTGGTAGAACAGTGTCAGTGGTTGGACAATGTCTACACTTAAATTATTCCATAGTTTTACCCCACTTATGGAATACAAAATCTTTTTTTGGCTGTACGTATAGCATGAATTTTTAAATTTTTAAATTTAACTGACCCCTTAAATTGTATCCCCCTTCCCTTTCATTAAATAGTTTTTGAATTCCACCAGGTAATAAATTGTTCCTGGCTTTATACATAAACAGATTTAGGACAGCATGACCAGACACCCCCCTCTCTGGGGCCAAATGATGGGTGAACATCATTTAACTGTGTACTGAGTTTCCATATGAATGCTCTCCCATTCTTTGACACATTTAATTGTTTATTATTGACAGACCCAAACACAAAGATTTGTACTTCTTGCCCCCTGTAGATAGGGATGCCAGACAATAATATTTGAGCTTGATGGAGAATGTCCAAAAGAGAGGTAACCTTTGTGTGACAAGGGAGAATTCAGGATTAGTCGATAACCAGAGCAGAGTGATTTCTGACCCGGTCAGCTTGATAAGTTACCTGTTATAATGTTTCTCAGAAGTCTTAGTCTCTGAGTGTCATCTTCAGCTTGGCTGAAGGGCACTTGGAGCTACGGCTGCACCGAGATTCAATTCACACCTGTAACAACAAGTCGATAATTATAACTGTAGTAGGAAACTGTTTTGCATGTTTACAGGAATGAATGTTGATTTGGTTGTGACACATCATGCTGTAATTTTCTGTATAGCACACCTCTTGCAAACAAGCCTGTCTACTCTAGACAGTCACAATGGCATCTTGGAAGGACATAGCAGTGACAGTGCTGCACGAGTGCAGTTTTAAGTTTTAAGACGAACACAACCAACCACCTGCGCAGACATGTTTCGGGTAAATAGTCAGTCTAAACAGCAGGTATTTCAAAGTCAAACACAGCTTCATTCTTAAAGACTGTCGGCTTCATGGTATAGCAGGTGATTTGTACAAAAAGTGGGTCAAACAGAGTTTGCACTTCCAAAAACACATCTGCTGATGTCACTGCAACAGTAGATACATTATACATAGTACACACCGTGACCACTGCACTGCTGTTTCCTTATATTCTTACTATGCCTTACAATAAAACCTTTCTAAGTCTAATGATGAGAGGAGATGAAAAGCCCTTGTTAAAACTCTCCATTCAATCATCAGGGTTGAGCAGGACATTCTTACAGAGATAGGTTTAGACTTCAGACAAGTGTTACCCATTAGGAGTACCCTCTTAAAGTTAAAAGCCTGGCAAAGTCATTCTCATTTACTTAAAAAATAATCCAAATATTATCATTTTTTGCCATGTTCCACCCCTGCCAATATCCTGCTTTGACAGCTGGACTAATGTATTACCTCAGGAAACTGTCTTATTTATATTACTCTTTTTCCAGTTTTTCTGATTATTTCATCCATCAAAATAACCCAAATTCACACCCTTCAGCGTTCAGTTATGACCACAGCCTTGCCTCTGCACTGAGGAACAATCACAGAGGAAAGCCAGACATCACTCCAGAGGAATTGAGAGTTATGTAGTAAGGCAGGGTGTTTAGCTGAAGGCTTTTGGCATACATACACAAAACCGTATTATGGTGAGGAGAGAACAGGGAGGTCTTACCGTGCACAGCTGTGAGCAAGTTATCTTCTGTTCACAGGCCTGAAGCATTGTGCCCCTGACTCAACAGTGCTGAGACGGCAGGAAAAGGGACTTTGTAGCAGATGCCAAACTTCAGGTAAACAGCCACTTGAATGTCAAAGTGATGTCTCTTTACATAGTCCTGCGCTGACGCAATGTGAGTGAAACGCTTTGAACCATAAAGACGTTTGGACGGTAAACAAGATATCACTATTACCCTCTTAACCAACTTTGTAACTTTGTGGTGTTGACAGAGGTGTAATCGTTTTCAGTCAAATGCAAATGTTTTTGTTCAGGTAATTCGCACTTAATACGATTACACACTTAACAAAGACTCCAAAAATTTTGCTGAATTATGGAGTATGTACGTGAAATCTCCTTAAGATCTCAGTGTCCTTTTGTCCCAGTTTCGATTAGTTTAATTTGACGCGTAAATTGGGGGTTTCTCGCTCCGGTGTTGTGCGTCCCAAGCGAGGGACTTTTTTTGCAGAGAGAAATATATGTGGGACCTTACCCCTGAAGAAGACCGTGCCATAACTTGGCTTCTATGACTGGGTTTTCTGAGATGCATCTCACGCCGGGCTTATCATCGCTGGTGGTGCCGAGGAGCTGCAGAGAGCAAAGCCTTCACTGAGGAGAGTCACGTGACTGAGATGTAGCAATGAGCCTTATCTGAAGACCTGGAGGGAGAGTGGTGGGGTCTGCAGGCGAAACGTCACAGCCACCGCAGACTTTACTCAGGTACCTTTACGAGGGCGGTGCGCCACAAAGCTGCACTGCGGACAGCCAGCATGTGCGTGCAGATTATATGCGCGCTCTCTAGCCAAACACTCCTGAGATGAATTCACCAATAAGCACAGCCCTCATCCGGAAAGGAGTGAAATGTAACCGCTGCATGAGAGCCTGTTTATTCCACATTCCTCCAAACAATATCCTAACTTCTTTTAATTTACGACTGCAAACTCTGAAGCTGTGAAATCAGTTTTTTCCCTTTATTTCTTGGATGAATGCCATGCACTTGTCAAAGAAAAGTGATTAACTATAAAATCTGAGAAACGGAGAAAACGATCAAACTTTAACAGAGGACAGAACAAGACAAGTTAAAGTTTATTTTAAGGTTGTTCTATTCACGAGTACCTTGGTTTGAAGGATAACCATGTAAACAAGAAGACAAACACGCTCACACACCATTACCATGGCTGAATACATGATAATTAACCTGTTCTGTAAATGATATCAATAAAATACTATTCCTGACAGATAGCTATATATTATGTTTGTTTTGTTTAAGAAGTGACTCACTCTCCAGTATAATGTATGGCTATCATATGGGATCTAAACATACAGAAAACAGTAAACCAACATAGAAACTGTGAATTTTTCTTTATCAAAAATCATTCAGATGGTGATTATAACTGTTTTTACATGTTGTCTTCAAGATGCTATCTTGTGAACTGCTACTGTGATGGTCCCGTGACTCCTCACCAGAATATTTCTGCAAAATAAACAACAGCATGCTAAGACATTCTCCCAATAAATGATAATCATGCTGAGGTGTTATTAATCACCATTATGAAGATACATCATCACCACCACCATCATCATCATTATCATCATCATCATACCAGAAAAAGAGTTATATTGTCCCAAAGTGTAAATGCTTTGTCAAAGGTTTACCAAGTCTCCCATAAATAAGGTTATGGTTTGTTTTGTCTATACATATCTATAAGATAATGAACATTAAGCTTTAAATTCTAATTTACTTCAAACCCACACTGAAATAAGGTGTTAACTGAGACATTTTGTAATGTTTTTTGATCACTATTAATCAGAGGACAATAATCACCTCACCAGTTGAGGATTAATATCCTGTCACATTTGGTTTTTGAAAATGATTTCTTTATAATGATCATAAGTTTTGTTTGAAGTTGAAGTCACTGATGCCTCTGCACCACATGGTGCTGTGAATATGTCCAGAAGGTGGCAGCATAGCCACGCAAATGAAAATAAACTTCTCTGCCAAGTCTCTGAGCACAGTCTGAGGTACAAATACTGGACATTCAATCTTTGATTTTGGATTTAATTCAACAGCTTTGTCTAGATTTATTGATCTCCACACATATTAGTCAAAAGCACTACAAGCATACTGTATCTTAAATTCAATGAGATGGAGAAAAAGGATGAAAGATGCAAGTCAGTCAAACAAAAAGACAAAAGGTTGCATCAGTGCTCACCCTGACTCAGACTCCAGACACACAGTGGGAATGTCTGTTGGGTCTCTGGTGAGAGCTACAGCTTGTTTGGCCAGAACTGACACAACACCACCATGTTCATCGGACAGGGAGCCACGGCCTGTTGATTACAAGATATAAAACGATGTCAGCCAAAACAAACAAGAATTAAACTAAACAACATCCAGCCAGTTTATTGGAAACGTTGACATTAAAATGTTAAGAAGCTACCTTAACATCTGAAAGGTGAAATCAACACATTTTTTTATTTTATCACATGTGGGATAGTTTGATAACTTTAAGGAGACAATTAGACTGTACCGTTACTGCCTGGGGAAATTATTTAGATGGACAGCTTTTACATTTCATGTTAAAAATCAACCTCCAGCATGTGAATATAAACTGGCATACACTTTTAGCAATATCTACTCCACAGATGCTAACAGTTAACAAGCCTTTTTCCTTAACAAGCTCCAATTTTGATCAGGATGTTACTGTCTGAGCTGCCTGCCAATTCTTATTTCAGATGTGTATTGCACTTATACTTAGTCATTTATGTGACCAAATACAAATCTGACAACAAGCTGTAGATTGGGTGGTCTTGTATTAACAGTTTGTCTTGTGTAAAAAGTCTTCATTTTAAATGTAATCAGACCATTCAGGATATATATAATTACAGGTGGAAGCAGTGCTAATACAGAGTAAATAAAAATCAATGAATCTGGTGTTACTGAGTACTGCACAGAATAGGTCAGGGTCCACATTTCAGCTGACACTGACAAGACTGTTATTTTTTAATCAGCAAAGTTACTGAGCAGGTGGTTTTCTGTATATGATTAACCCTGGACTACTTTTATTTCAGATCAAGAAAATGTGTAGCAAGTTGTGTTATGCAAATTCATCCATTCATTCATTTTCTACCGTTTAGTCCCTTGCGGGCCGGAGCCAATCCCGGCCGGCAATCAAGCGAAGGCGGGGCGTGTTATGCAAATTAAAAAATGTATATTTTCTATTTCAAACATTTGCACTTGGCTTTGGAGTGATTATGAGGTAGTTGTTCTCAGTTGCTTTGGCATATTTTGTAATAGTGAAAATCATTTTCAAAACAATGTTAAATTCTCAAATCCAAAGTTCATTTTTCACAGCAGTAGATGCATTTCTTGTTTTCATACAGAATTGATCATATGTGATCAAAACTGGTTACACTAGTTTTCTATTGATCAGGCTTGATTCACCCCTGAGAAATAAATCCACCATTACCACATGCAGCGTTTAAGAAATGCTCAGATATTAATACATCAATATTTTCAATCCAATAGCTTTCCTATAAAGCTCATAAACAAACAAATATCTAACTCTCTGTTTTCTTACAGCCCAGGTTGTGTCCTTGTTGATCCGTGCAGAGCACACCGACAACTGCTGGATTCTTCATGCTGCCAAAACACAAACAAGAGGCAAGAAGTCATCTTTAATGTCCCAACATTTAAAATACGAACTCATATTTAGTCTGGTATTAACTTACGTATCATCGAGATGCTGTTCGAGTGTCGACTCCATGATTAATAGCAGTAGGTCAGTGAGAAATTCAACTTTAATGTATTTGTTATGGTTGTCTGCGTTCTCAGAGCTTCCGGGTGGAGTCAGCTGATCGTCACGTGTTCTATGGGTCTCTGTTAGGAACAAACGACACGACGCGAGCTATAATAAAACAAACTACAGAACTATAGTAATACCATACTTAGACATGTATATACACTGTAAAATTTTCATACTTACCGTAGTAGTACCATTGTACGTAGTTATTTGTTTGAAAATATATATAAGTCAGTCAGGTCTGTGCGTTTATAGTAGATAGCATGATCTTAAAGCTATGTTTACTAATTAGGTAGTATTTAAATATCCTAGTGAAATTTATATGCTACTATGTATTTTGATATACAAGCTTAATATGAGGCTAAGCTACAGTAAAATTATTTCTGCTCTCTTTTGTGTGGCTAGGTCACTACAATCTTTTTCTAACAAAACACTCATATTTTTTTCATTTAGCATGTCACTCTCTTCATTCCAGACATGGTGAATTTAACTCTAACTGGTTCTTTTATCTGAAGGCCCCAAGAAGTAACACTCAGGAAACAGGAATCAGCTTTACATAGATTTATTTTCTTCTGGTTAAATGCAGAGTTATTACAGCGCTGGGCTCTGAGAGATGACAAGTATCCAAGAGCCTCAATAATCAAAAATCATTCACATTTATCTTCTCGGGCTGGGACTGCCCTGTACATGGGTGGTACATTGCATGGGTGGTACTTTACATGTAAATATTCTAGAATGTTCATATAGGCAGTATGTGTGTGTGTGTGTGTGTGTGTGTGTGTGTGTGTGTGTGTGTGTGTGTGTGTGATAAATTAACAGTATCTTATCTATAGTTTCCAGAACGACACTTATCTATGCAATCTATTCTTGCACAATTATCCAAGAAGATGAGAAATACTACAAGTTGACTCGAAGCTGAATATTATAACTATAATGCATGCATAAGAGCCAGGTTAATACTGATACATGGTGCTGTTAATGAAACACAGACAGTCATACTAAACTCTATCATTATAAAAGCAAAATAATACTAACTGTAAATAAAACAACTGTAACTCCTGAAATCCAATCCTAACAGTGAACAAGGGATTTTGATATTCAGAGATTCATAAATTTAGAGCTAATTACTTGAGTTATTTTTTCCCCTATTATATTTTGACTAAATTATATCTGTATTGATGGTTCAACTTCCACTTTGTTCTCAAGGATTGCACAGACAGTCACAATCAGATGATTCACAAATATGTTGACATTGCCTAAAAGAGCTCCAGTGTCACATGTTTCCCAGTAATGAAACTGGTTTGTTTTTTTTTTAGGTTTTTTTTGACACTCAGAACATATCACTGAGAATTGAATTCATCTCTAGAAACAAAGCCATCTCCACCATCCCATTCATAACAGAATGGTGCAAACATTATTTAGCATGATAAACACTTAAAACATTTACCAGCCTAAAGTGAACTTTAGCCTACCCGTGTAAAAATATAGTATTAATATTATGAGTATGAAGCCTTTTATTGATGGATTTTGTTAATGTGTTTTCTTCAGAAGTTAGCTGCAGGCCACCGTCTCAGCTCACCTCTCTGCATGATTTCTGCTGCCTGTCCCGAAGCTTCAGTGCTCTTGCTGACAGGGCAAAAATGGTGGATGTAATTATATGGCCGCTGCACTGAAGGAATCCATCACCTACACAGCAGCAGGGTAATGCCCTGCTGACTAACCCATGGGTTACACTCCCTCTCTTCTTCTCTAATTTTTTTTTGCTTTCCTTCTCCTCTTCTCTCACTCATATTTTTTTCTCACATCTTAAATCAGAGCTCTACTGCTTCCACTGACAACTTGCTGCCCATCACTGTCTGAGCATGCACGTAAGCAAATGCACAAGTGCAGATATCTTCCTCACTTGTTTCACACACACACACACACACACACACACATATGTAATGAATCTTTAGTCTTGTGTCAGGGGTGGTTGACATAAACACTATTTGTAACGTGGCCACTTTACAGCCACAGTAAATCTACAAATGAGCCAGACTCCAAATAGAGATCTGACTCAGAGTCCATGTGTCATCACCGCCATATTCTACACAGTGGCTAACATACTGTAATTCAAAACTTGTTTTTCATATTCTGGTAACCATTTAGTGATACTATAGCTTAGGCATTGAGGTGTTTGTAACCTCAGGGGGTCGTGTTCACTCATTGTGATGTACAGCTAAGGCGGATGACAGCTTTCACAGTACATGGCGTCATGGCACACATACCCATAACAAAATAAAGAATATTACTTTTTCAGCCCATAAATGCGTTAGATGAAGCCCAGTCCACGAATCAGCTTGTGGCAATTTCAGTAAACTTATTATATGACTTTGATGTTGTTTTCATTGTCCTGGCTGTCTCACACTGACAAATTTATGAATAAGATTTCATGGCACCTGTGCACTTTGCTTCACAAAAAGAGACATCAGTTGTGGAGTAGTTTTACATATTTTTGTCTTAGCTTAAACCACTTGAGTCATGGAAACTGTCAGCTTCTGCCTTGAGCAGATGTATGGTCAAACACTACGGTACATAAAAGGCAAAGGCTGAGAGAACTGCTGTGACCCTCAGCCATCATCTGGATGGGTGAGATGACAAAGCTTCTGAGAAGACAGGAGGAGAGGGCATGCGGAGATCGCTGACATGGGGAGGGAGGGATGGAGGAAGGGAGGAGGGAGTGTTGGGTGGGGGTTGGAGGTGGATAAAGAGAGGGACAGAGTGTGGCTCCCCCTCTCAGGAATTCTGGGAACCTTCATTATTGGCCGGAGAGTCAGGGATCCAGTGTGACGTGCAGGAGAATCTGTTAAGAGCTGTTGTCCAGTGTTGAAGGTGCTGAGAGAGTCCAGTTCTCTAAGTGTTGTCATGGGCTTCAGAGCAGTGCAGCTGTTCCTCCTCCTGGTGTCTCTGACCTGGTCCAGAGGAGCCGTGATCACAGGGGTGAGTGACAGGTTTCTACGTCTGCTGCAAACTCTTAATTCTGGTATTTCATCAGTTTATAGAAGAGGTACTAATTATCAATTACTCTGCTTACTGTTTTGAGTAATGTCTAACTATAATAACATTTTACAGTGTTATTTTCTTTGTATGACTGTCTTCTATTTTTCTTAAAGTGTATTGAGACACCATATGATTTAAAGCTCAAATTACTTATTTACTAGGGCTGCAAAAAATAATTATTCATTTTTTTAAAAATACTCAGGCATTTACCCATCACAACATTTCTGAGTTTAAAGTGACGTCCTTTGCTTTTTCTTTTTGGTCGTGTGGCCAGCAGTCCAAAACCCAGAAATTCTAAATAGACAACAATATATAACAGAGAAAAGCAACAAATCCTCACATTTGAGATGTGGGATACTGCATGTTTGGGATGTTAGTACTAAATAAATTATTCATTACTTAGTATGCATTGTAAATTGTGCTGTACTTTTCTGTATAATTTTGTAAAATTTGATTACACATGACTGACGAGATACCACATCCTCCTGCAAGAGGAAATTATCTCAGTCTTCTGACTGATATTCATTTGTAAATGGGTTATTGAAATGGCAGGCCATCGATAAAATGGCTTTCGCTGTACGTACATGAGAGGGCATCCTTATTAGCATAAATAAAAACAACTGTTCTTTCTCGCTGGCTCTTTCATGCGGTTCTGTCTGTCTCTACTGTCTTATGTCTCCGTCTATCCTGCAGGCCTGTGAAAGAGACGTGCAGTGTGGGTTTGGTCTCTGCTGTGCTGTCAGTCTTTGGATGAGGGGTCTGAGGATATGTGTCCCAAGAGGTGTGGAGGGGGATGAATGCCACCCGTTTAGCCACAAGGTGGGGAGAAATGACGTCTGCCTTAGCGGAAATTCAGATTATATCAAGTGCTGGCAGGTTGGCTGATGGTTTAGAAAAGCTGCTGATAACTGCAGAGACTATTGATCCTCTCCACAGTGAGCTGGGTAATCAGAGCCATACATCACTTTGATCATCTGGAGATGGCAACTATTTGTTCTGCACACATGACATTAGTCTCAGCTTTTTAAGATTTGTAGCTCCACTTGTCAGTTGAGTAAGGATTTAGTCTGTCAGATTATCCACCCTACTTTTTTCCCTACTTTCAGGTGCCCTATTCAGGCCAAAGGCTACATCACACCTGCCCCTGTCTCCCCCATTTGGTGTGCACCAGGTATGATGATAGGAAGTACAGATGTACTGATGACTTCAAAAACATGGACTTTTAACAGCACAGCAGAAAAGCAGAGTGAAGACGTGAAGAGGCAGTGGATCAGAAACATATTTTATCTTCACTGACTGTATTCTTCATTTACTCTGTGTACTATAATACATACTTTGTATTCTCGTAATGCAAATAACAAAGACGGAAAGAAATGTCAAGACATGTAACCTACTTACAAGAGCCACAGTCGTCACACCAGACGCTTTATATTCAGTAAAAACAAGGTTCCTTGGGAAGCTATTTGTGAACCATTAAAACATCTTCACATGGGTTTGTTTTCATGCTCATCTTATTTTAATTTTTCAAGAAAAATGTATAAATATTATTGTCAATAAAAAATAACTGACATGATACATGCTGTGCAAACGTTTTTATGTTTAATTTATGTGCTTGATTAAACATTCGGTATTATGGGGTGGAGGTGTGGAGTGCTTTTAATCACACTGATAATGATGAAGGTCAAAATCACAGTCTCAGTCTCAGTTCCGCTGCCTTCATGAGAAACACACAACCTTGCTATATACATAAAAGTTCTGGTGATTGAACATGTGGCAAATGTCAATCGAAGGGCACGTCCACCACCACATTACCTACAGAAGGTTAAAGGGTTGGAAATTTGTTAGTTTGCTTTCTGAGACTTCTTCACAGACACAGGGAATTTAATAAGTTCTAACAAATACAAATGAAGAAATGCTCCAATGTTTTCCGAGGTTTCTGAAGTTTTCTGTTATAAATGTTTTTTTTTTTTATATGGGGTGAAAACACGGCAGGTGTGATGGGAGGCAGGCAGCATTTCTCCCCTGAGCTCTAGTGTTTTTGTGTAAGGCACTGAATATTAGCCTAATGGAATAAGAATCACCTTAGTATCAGTATATTCACATTGCTACTAGTATTAACATTAGAAGTATTATTATTACAAACTAATTAAAAACAACAAACAGGAAAGGGTACATTCAATTTATTTAAATACAAATCAATAAATTAACTGAATTAATTATGACCTGTAATTGAGTCAAGTACAATTTTGAGATTCTTTGCTTTACATGCTTTATTTTCTTTTCTTTTAATGTTACTTTATACTTCTGTTCGCTGCATGTCAAATTTGACTTCAGTATATTTATTTAACACCTTGTAGGTAGTACTTAATTTGCAGATCAGGTCAAGGTTACTGTCAGTATTCCATCAAATAATTATTTATAAAAACATTTTTTGTGAAACTAAATGCCACCCAAAGTTATGGAAGCAAGTAAGAATAAGGAATTTTAAATTTGAATTCAAAAATGAAATTAAAGATGTTATACTGTGGAACTCCTTACCCTTAGATATACGCTCTATAACTGAGCCGGTAGCCTTCAAGTCAGCTCTTAAAACGTATCTTTTCAAACAAGCTTTTAATGTTTAGCTTGTTTATTGGTCTTGTATGACCACTATCTTTGAGTCCCTTTTTGTGATAATAGGCCGGGTAGAAATTGTGCTATATGAGTGCTTGTGTTTGTCTTTTGTTTTTCTTTTAGCCTTGATTGTTTGGAACTGTTATTTTATCGATGTAGCACTTTGTGCTTTCGAGTTGGAAAGTGCTTTACAAATAAATTTTATTATTATTATTATTATTATATTTACTACATACATACAACTAATGAATCATTTTGTTAATCTTTGTTCTCACAGAGTCATCAGACCTTGGTTTGCTCCTGTTGAAAGTTTCCATTTCAGTGTTAAACAAATACTCTGAGCATCAAATCTCCTGATCTACATGTCAACACAATATGTATAAAACACTTGCACTTACAGTACAATCAAATGATCTGTTAAATAATAAAAGTCAATCCTCTGACACATTTACAGAATTATTTTTGCTAAACTGCTTTGTGTGTGTTGGTGGGGGGTTGTTTATATATACCTGTGGGAAACACTGGGAGCATACTGCTTTGCAGGGACCACCCGTCTACGGTGGCTGGGCCCCATGACTAAATCAATGAATTTTACAAAAATGACAGGGTGTAAGGTTAGAGCATGTGTCAGCTTTGGTTAAGTGTTAGGGTATGGGTAAAGGTTAGGCAAGTAGCGGTTCTTGTTAAGGTTAGAGTGAGTCTCCTGCAAACGAATGTACGTCTATGTATGGACCCTGTAAGTGACGACTGCAAGGATGTGTGTGTGTTTCAACAATGTTGAGATAACTGTCCCACTGTATAAGGTCAGCTAGGTTTTAAATAGTTTCCATGAAGTCTTTTGTTTGATGGAATATTTACATCTAGATAAAGGTAATTTTATCAGCATAATTCATGTTTTCTTATCTCCAGCTGATAAGTGATATCAAGTTATGTAGAAGGGCATTTTGGAGACACAGCCTTGATGTGTTGTATATAAGGACTGGACTCTGCGACTGAAGCCGCGCTCATCTGTGTCTGACAGTAAAGTGACCATCATGATGAAGTGGCTTGTCGTCCTGTCAGCCCTTGTGGCTTTCTCCGAATGCCTCCTCAAGTAAGTCTGACCTGGCTGGTTGAGAAGCAAACTGTTCCTTCATATCTTTGAAATTTTTCACCTGAATAGGCTGAACTGTTGACAGACAGTCTCTCCATCTCGTTTTCCTAAGGGGAGATCTTAACTTGGTTCATTTTGCTTTGATCTATCACACCTTATAAACTAGTACAAAGTTGAATGTAGAGCTTATTCAGATTTCTCCACCTATGAAATTGAACATCTGTGCATTTTGCAAATGATTTACTCTTCTGTGTGTAGGGTGCCTCTGATCAAAGGGAAAACTGCCAGGCAAACCCTGCATGAGAAAGGATTATGGGAAGAGTACAGGAAGATGCACCCATACAACCCAATGGCCAAGTTCCACCAGTATGGTGTTGAGCCCATGACCAACGATGCTGATGTAAATCCAGACTAGAGAGACAATTTAGGCTTGGGTCATCTCATCTTCATCCATTAATCTGTCCTCTCATGTCTCTCCAGTTGTCCTACTTTGGTGTGATTTCCATTGGCAGCCCTCCTCAGTCCTTCCTTGTCATCTTTGACTCTGGCTCCTCCAACCTGTGGATCCCTTCAACCTACTGCTCCAGCCAGGCTTGTGGTGAGCAGCTCACACTATTCTGTGCTTTACGGTTGGGTTAAAAATTGACTGGTATGGTCCAATCATTTGAACTGTTTTTCACAAAGTGGTGGAAAGTAACTAAGTCTAACTATATATATTTTTAATACTCTACTTAAATACAGTTCTGAGGTACTTTTATAGTGTTTTCATTTTATGCTACTTAATTTTTCTCTTTGTAACTACAGTTTTTGAAAACAGTTTTTCTACTATTACTATGTGAATAACATTTGACATACAAAACATATGCTTATCTTTGGAAACACAATGCATAGATGAAATCAATGCACAAGCTGTTACACATTAAATGATCTAACCATGTATAAACTACAAAAGTAGTAGCAGCACTTTGACCAGCTGCAACAGTGAAATGCTTCATGCACATACAGTTGAATCCTATTAAGCCTGTCCTACTTACAGTAGGTAAAACTTAGATTTCAGCAACTGAAATGCAGTATTTTTAGTTGCTACTATTGCTAGTAAAAGGTCAAAATACGACAACTAATACAGTATGAATAGAGATGGTCCAAACTGTTTGGCATATTCCTAAAATCACGTTCAAACAAAGATACCATTTGTCTGCAGAGAACCACAGAAAATTCAACCCACAGCAGTCCTCCACCTACAAATGGCTCGGCCAGCCTCTGTCCATCCAGTATGGCACTGGCAGCATGACTGGATACCTAGTCAGTGACGATGTTGAGGTAAACAACACTCTTAGAACAAACTGTGTAGTATAATTTAGGCTTCAAATAGCCACACAGTCTCTGCATGGTCTGTGACTGACAGCTGTCTTGTGTGTTTAGGTGGGCGGCGTCACTGTGGCCAACCAGGTGTTTGGAATTAGCCAAACAGAGGCTCCCTTCTTGGCTACAATGCAGGCTGATGGCATCCTGGGACTGGCCTTCCAGAGCATTGCCTCTGATAATGTTGTGCCTGTCTTTTACAACATGATCAAGCAGGGACTTGTGTCCCAGTCCATGTTCTCCGTCTACCTGAGCAGGTACTGAAACAGGATGGAAATTTGTTGGCTGGGAGTGGGTGATTCTTTTTCCATGACCTTACATTTACACTATGTACGACTTTTTTCTGACTCTCTCAGCAACAGTGAGCAGGGCAGTGAGGTCGTCTTTGGTGGTGTTGACAGTAACCACTATACTGGACAAATCACCTGGATCCCTCTGACCTCTGCTACCTACTGGCAGATCAAAATGGACAGGTACAAAGAAATGCATCTAACATCAGTGACTCAGACCTAAACTGATTACCTTATTGACAGCAAATGTAAGTGGTACAAAGGCTCCTAGCTTGACTGTGGTCCATCTTCTGCTGTTAATCCTCACAGCGTTACCATCAATGGACAGACTGTGGCCTGCTCTGGTGGCTGCCAGGCCATCATTGACACTGGTACCTCTCTGATTGTCGGTCCAACCAGTGACATTAATAACATGAATAGTTGGGTTGGAGCCACAACCGACCAGTATGGAGATGTGAGTTGTACTACCATACCATATTATTTGACAAAGAGCTTCCCCTTTTTCTAACCCCAGCATTAAGAGGGATCTAATGCTCTGAAAACACTCAAATAAAAATAATCAAGTAGGATTTGATCACTCACTTTAGCTACTGTTTTTCTCTCAGGCTTCAGTGAACTGCCAGAACATCCAGAACATGCCTGCTATCACCTTCACTCTCAGTGGAACTGCCTTCACCGTCCCTGCATCTGCCTACGTCTCTCAGGTCAGTTAGACCTCAGCTGGCACTAATTACAACAGAAACTACTTCAATATTATATTAATAAAGATTTGGAAGAATTACATCCTTTTTCCCTTGTTTCCCCCACAGACCAGCTATGGTTGCAACACTGGCTTTGGCCCGGGTGGCTCTGACCAGCTCTGGATCCTGGGAGATGTCTTCATCAGGCAGTACTACGCTGTGTTTGATATGACCGGTCCATACATTGGTCTGGCACAGTCTGCATAATCTAGACACCTGAATTATCCAAGTGTGTATTTCAATGTATGAGGCTTGTTGGACTGAAGACTGAAGACAAGAAAAGTGCAACTGAGACATTGTGGAAAATATATATGAGGCTATGCTGTAACTGTCTCTGCATTAAATAGCAAGCAAAACATTCTCTGCATTTTGTGTGTATGTCAGTTTGTGACTGTGGTAACTACAACCAAGGTCAATCAGTCATCAGTACAGCAACACGTCTCTACAAACATTTTTAGTTGCAGGAGTTTTTGTGTTGCGATGTTGCACCCAAATGTCACAGGAATAAATCCCGTCTGTTCATTCATTCGCTCTTAAGAGAAAATTGACCTTTCATAGATACACAAAAGATCGCCACAAGTTTTTTTGTGTAAAGGAAGAACAGGCTGATAATAGAATATCGAGCGGCTCTCAGAATATCGGACACCCAGGTTTCTTCTGATAATCTAAGAAGAAGCTGATAAGGGCAAAAGTTGATATAAGAAAAAAAAACCTGATGACATGATGTGACAACTTTTCCTTTGTCTGAGCGGCTGAACAGAACCACAGGGTTGGAAAGTATCAGACTCAAAAAAGAAAAAAACACAACGAAACCACCACAAATTCATTCATGTGCATTATCATGAACGAGTTCATTTCTTTAATGCCATTATCATTTCATTTTTTATGCCTTCAGTCATTTTCACTAAATTAAATACAATACATTTTAAGATGTAGATCATTGATTAAACATTGTGCTTACATAAATTTGAGGCCCTCAAAAGAGTCAGAAGTTAAAATAAAAGCAGCAGAGGCCAAGATATCCTGAAGCTCTAGCAATGCTGGAATCTTCACTACTTGCCTGATCTTTCAGGCTCTAGACAGGCTGAGTAGCACTAACCTTTGACTATTGCCCTGATAGTTATGTGTAAAATCAATGGAGTTCTTGTTAAAAATGCACTGGCGTAACTAATAAAATCAATCCCACATTAAAATTAGAACCCAACTAATATTTTGCATGAGTTCACTGGTGGATTGCCAGTGTGGAGTACTCCACCATTCCAGCATGCTCTGCACTCCAGGTCGAGTCAGGGGCTCCTACTCTGGTTTTGTTTGCATTCACCTCTGTCGGTTTCTGGTGGACTCTGAAGTTCACTGTTGTGTACACTATGCCACTCATTTCCTGTGGGAGACAAACATTGTCAAGAGATAGTGCTGTTGAGGAAGTTTGGAGTCAGTTCTTTTAAAAACAAGTGACAGTGAGTCACAGGCTTTATGTTTCTTGTTTAGCATTTACCGGGGCTTCTTGTTTCTGTGACTCACACGAAGTTTCGCCACCTATGTCTACAAAGTAAAACAACATCATATTGGTTCCCACTCCAAATAAATTAACAATTTTCAGAAATACTGGTGGCGATTCAGATTTTTGTGACAATCAGTTCAAGGAAACTACTTACTTGGCTGTTTACGTTTTGCCTTCACTCTGCAGCAAACAACACCAATCACTGAAGTGATTAAAACCATCACTGTAATGGACACAATGGCAGCTAGTGGCAGGCCAAAACTCCAGAAAACTCTGGAAGAGAGGCAGGAATCAGAATTCAGATTGCCCATTAGTGCACAGGAAAAATAAATCATCTACAGAGTGAGTACCTGGGGCTGTTACTGTGGTCCTGTGCCACAGCTGGGCCACTGGAGCCTGGGGATGGTATGGAGGTGTTGGAAGTGTTGAAAGCTATTGTCAGTGGAGGCTGAGATTGGGTGTGGCCACTTGAAGCTTCTGCAAAATGCAGCAATATCATACAAGCTTCCTGAGTTTATGGCTTGAGATAAAATGAGATTCCTCTTTTTTTCTTTTGCAAACAAAAGAAAACCACACTGATATCTTATTTTGTGAGTTAAAATTTATCTTATGAAGCTGGACGCTAATAAGCCCACTCTTTCAAAAGCATTACTGGACACACTATAGGCTATTGCATAATGCATATTCATAACACCATGTTAATGAAAATTTGAACACTTACCTGAAACCTCAACATAGTAATCACTGTAGATGAGGTTCTGGGTTCCCATCACAATGCATCTGTAGTAACCTGCATCCACAAACTGCACATTTGATATTCTGAATTCAATCCAGCCGTCTTTCTCAGTCTTTGTAACTCTTCCTTTCAGTAAATCACAGGTATACCCTGTACTGTCCAGCAGCCTGTAACATCCTCCTGGATAGAGTTTACAGCAGGACTTGCTGTTGTTATTGTAAAATGAAGGGAAGGTGAGTCTCAGCAAAATGTGTGCAAGCTCCTCAGTCCTCTGCTGCCCTTTAAGATTTTGGATAGCTCTCTCTCTCTCACACACACACACACACACACACACACACACACACTTCTCAATACACAAAATACAAAAAATTGCTACATTTGGAATTGTTTTTTTTAACCATACCTAATAAAAGAAGAAAGACAAAGGAAAACTTCATCTTCATCTTTAGTGTACTGCTCACTCTGAGTCTCAGCGCTCTTGAGGATTTGAGGCCACTCCTCACATAGAGGAAGTTGTCAGTTCATCAGCTGGAGAGGAAATCACATACAAACGTGAACCTCATGAAGCTGCCAGCCCTTTAAGAGGGGATGTATCACACTTCTGACATATTTTAGTTTTAACTTCTTCTTCTTCTTCTTCATTTTTTTAAATACATGTTGACTGTTTTCATAATGCAGACATACAGAAGAAGAACAAGAAAGGAAATTCTTGAGATTGTAATTTGGGGTGTAGTTGTGTTTGCCTGCATTATACTATTATTTTTGTTACTGCATCACAGCCACCTGCTATCATTAAGCAAAGATAGAATTTCCATTATCATATTGTGATGCAATGTAATCCCTTAAGTTAAGCTACAGCTCGCAGTGAGCTGTACCATCTCTGAAGAAGTGTGTACACAGAGCAGCTGTACTGGAATGACATATGTTATACTGGATATAACAATACATATATGTCTAAAATACCTTAGAGATGGAAACATTGTTAGAGGAAGTTCTGAACATTTAGAGACTCATCAAAATATACACAAAGTTTACACAAAATCATTTATTTGGTGTCAGCTTTCAGCTTATTAAACAGTGCATATTCACCAAATCAAAACATATTGTATCCTCCATCATGGTACAGAAAACAAATGCTAAAGGTATATACATTTTACTACTCCGTAAACACAAGGTTGTGGCGTTCTAACAGGCTGTATCTCATTACAGATGAAAAATAAACACTCCCCTTTTATTCACTCCATTTGAATACTAAAGTGTTCATTTCGATGCTCAGTATATTTTCTAAAACATGAAAGAAGCTACTTCATTTTCTTTGATAGCATTGTCTTGCAAATTGAAGCAGTTGAGGCACATTAGCATAAATAATTTATATTAATTACAGACCAACTTTTAAATGCATATCCCTATGATTAATTTATGATTAACTTAGAAGCAATGGGTGGAATAATCTGAATTTACAAAAGCTGAAAAAAAGTCATGCCCCCCACACGCCCACTGAGCCGACAACAATGTGGAGGAAATGATGCTTTATTCACAGGCAGCTGAGGTCACTGTACTTTGTAGCTCATATTGGTTTCTACTGGTCCTGCTTTGTGCAGGTTTGTACCCTGGTAGGTATAAAGAGCTGCCTATTCATCAGAGAATGTAATGACATCAAACTGGATGCCCTGCTGCTGCAGCTGCTCCAGCTGTTCAGGTGTAGCTTCAGTGTAGAACGTCTGAGTCTCCGCCATCGCCGCATCTGCTACCGCTACAAGAACAAAAGTTATCTACTTAGTTTGATTTGCTGTCACAGAGCTGCAGAAGACTGAATATAAAACAAGTTAAGTGCAATCTGTTCCACAATTGAGTCAACCTGTAACAGCAGACTGGCCAGCAGCCTCGGGATCCTCAGGATTCATCTCTTGCTCCGAGCTGACAGGCAGGCACTGGATCTGACCATTCTGAGTTACAGCAATCTGAACAAATGAAAAACATGGAGCAGTGGGCTTTGTCAAAACCAAAATCTCTTACTATAGAGTATATGAGAACGTTTCCCCACCTGTTGCTCCTGCAGATAGGTACTGTCATGCTCATAATGGATGATCTGTCCATCTGGCATCTGAGGGACAGTTAAAGAAAGCCGTTAGATATTATCACATTATCATCACACTGTATTGCACCATCAGCTACAGTGATGCCTTATGAAGTGACACACTGACCTGTATGTGGTCACCATCAGCTACTACTACATACTCCTGAGGGATCAAGTGCTGCACTCCATCCTGTGAGATGATATACTGGACCTGAAACAGGCCATGTGACAAATAAGCAAAAGAATAATAAAGGATAAAGGCACTGTATAAGGTTGTTTTTTTTATTATTGTCATGTACAATAAAACATGAAGTGGTAGAATCTACAAAATGGCTTTCACCTCAGTCACCTGGTTGTCTCCTGTCATCAGGTGCTGAACGAGGTTATCTGCTGGATGTATGTGCCCTCCTCCTGATTAATGTAAATATGAATGACCTTAGTTATAAAATGCAGAGTGGCTTTATATTGTATGCAAAACTAACCTGCTTCAGAGAATTGTGTTAAGTGCAGTTTTGGGTACAGTGTGAATGTTGATACCTGGTCTGATAGCGCCTGTTCTTGAGCTACAATGATGTGCTCCTGTCCCAGGGCCTGCAACCCCTCTGGAGTGATCACTGTCTGGTGTGCCTGCAGGGCTGTTGCCAAAGCACATTAAATATATTGTGATTTTAGTTTACACTCAATGCGGCCTCTGTCTATAACCTATTAACCAGTTGAACAATAAGACCCATCATGGTAAATTTACGGATTTTTTTTCAGCAGAAACTCAGTTGCAAGTATTGTTTTGTGTTGTGATTTTTACACTGTAGAGTGGCCAGGGCTTCCTCATCACTGTTGACTATTATGGTTTGCCGAGATGCGGCGGTACGGCTCTTGCAAGTGGGATGATCCTGATTGTGGAGACGCTCCATGTGAAACTTCAGATGGCCATTACGATTAAATCTGAGATATTGGGAAAGAAAACCCAATCAACATCAATAGCTGTTCATTACCTTATTTGCGGTCTAAAGCATGTATACACAGCATTCAAAAACAAAAAATATCAGAAAAAAAATCAGCCAACAAACTAGATACTCCAGATGTGGTTTTCAAGCTGTTCTAAAGAAATATGAAGACTCTAGAGAAGTCAAATACAAACAATCCGAAGAAGCTTGAACTGCCAGCCTTTGTGGTAAGGCAGCAGACAAGGAACTACTTTTTCAGCTGGGGTCAGGGGAGAAAAAGCTGAATGAAGATCAGTGGAAAAGAGGATTATGGAGTGATGAATGGAACTTTAAAATGTTTGGGTCCAATCATCAATAGTATGTGAGAAGAGGACTTGGAGAGGGGTGGAAGAAGAATGAGTGGGGCAGCCTTCAGTGTCACGTAAAGAAAAAATTCTGTGCAAAGGGAGGTCACATTAAATACTGACTCTGGATAGTAGAAGCCATTTTATTCTGAAAATGTTTTGTTTTTTAATACTGTGTACACGTTTCCTATATTTTCTGGTTATATCTTAATAAAGAGATTGAGAAATAAATATAAATTATAATTACAACCTTGCTAAAACAGCTAAACTAATGGTGGCCTAAGACTTTTGCACAGTACTGTATTTTGCATAAGAGTTCCTAATGTTAAGTAATGTTACAAGTTTTTTTGATTATTCAAATTACTTCAGGTCTCACCTTTGTCCACAAAGTTTGCAAGAAAAGGGTTTCTCATTGGTGTGGGTCATCATGTGGCGGCGTAGGTCTTTCTTGTTTTTAGAGGCAAAGCTGCAGTTTGGACACTTATGAGGACGCAGGTAGGAATGTAGCTCCATGTGACTCTAAAACAAAACAAGATATCAGTCATAAAAGGACAGTGCCTAAGACAAGTAATTAGGAATCTAGCTGATAGTGCAGCAAAGTCCAGTGAGTGGCTCTGGAGCAGAAGAAAGGTATGTGATTGGTTATAAAAATATGCAAGTGATTTATAAATAGCAACATATGTGAGGATTGTGCCTGTTAAGCTGAAGTAAACTAGTATAGGAGGACAGGCTCAGTAAAAGTGTTTGATACTAGTTATCAAGTGGGCTATCTGAAATGTTTGGTGGCTAGAACAGCAGCAAATGTTTGCTACTGCTAGTGACTGTTTGGTAACAGCCTGAATTAGCATGAGTACATGAAGGACTGGGTTGGGTGTGTGGGTGCAGGCAAAGAGGGGGGTGGTTCTAGGACATTAGAATACACTGTTGAGCCTTCACGGTGTCATGGGCCCAGCTCCAGTTAGTGAGAGGGTGCCCACCTGAAGACCCTGTAGAGTCACTGATCTGTTTGCAGCACTTGTGACTATAGATGGTGAATACTGCCCGTGCTTTTTCAGTGAAAACATTTTAAATCAATTTGATCTGGCTAGGTTCAAGTGAAAATTAGTGTTCCTTCATTAAAATGCTAATTTATGCAGCAAGCTGCTCCAAAATGTAATTAGACAATCCATATTGGGTACCACTGGGGTGCGTATGAAGTCTTCGTATCTTTTTTTGAGTTATCCTTGTCACAGGAATGTTTCTGCAGAATCACAGATGCCAGCATGATGACACAGTGCCCCCCATACTGTGTAGCAAGGTAGTGGCACATAAAAAAGTTGAGAACAGAACTGACAACAGCGCTGCACAATTTTCAGAGACTGACCTTGACCTCAGGCCAGGAGGTGGAGGTGAAGTCACAGTCAGGACACTTGAAGGTGTTGGTGTCCAAATGTGCCCTCTTGTGGTTCTCCATGTCAGAGCGTCCATAGAAAGACTCCATGCAGATTCGACAGGAAAACTTCTTGGTGCTGAGACTGGGAGAGGTCACTGCAGAAGGAGAGGCTGGAGCCTCACAGCCCAGCTGAAAGAAATCAAATAACACTGTCAGAGGGACAAGTAACTAGAGACTACCTCTCTAAATGCCAAAAAACTTTAAGTTACAGCTGATAGTTACCTCCACTTGTTGCAGTACACCATCAGGCAGCGCTGAAGTAAGGTAGTACTTGTCACTTTTCAGGCTTTCTGACCCAGATGCATCTAGAACCTGAGAATGACTGCTCTCGCCGTTACTGAAAAGACATCATCAGAAAGTCAGTCTCCAGTCTTAAATGAGTTCTTTGACTATGTTTGTAAGTGTAGCATCAAATGTTCCTCCTAATCAGAAAAAAAACAGACTGTGTGCATTAAGATACCTGGATCCAGGGCTATGGATTTCTTCAGCAGCCTGCTCCACCACACTGAAGTCCTCTCCACCCTCGTAGGCTGCAATGGTGATGTGGGTAAGCTCTCCTGTTTCAGACGTGGCCGTCTCGTAGGCCTCTTGTAGCACTGTCTCACCATTCTCCGACACATGGAAGGTCATGACCTTTTGGGGCTGCCCTGGTGATGTGCTCACCGTACTCCATGTGCCCATCTCCAAAGCTTTGCGTTCTGACTTCAGTACTGCCACCTGAGGAGCAGAATACATGTTGAGCCTGCCTACTTTTTATCCAACATGAAATCTTGTGACAAGAAACAGCACCAACCTGTAAGGAGTTTCCCACCAATTCCCGGGCATTACTCATATTCAGCAGCAGGTCCAGGGCATTCTGGGCGGAGAGATCACTGGATTCAGCTAAGAGGCACATGGAGACAAAGTCAGCATTTACTCTTATTTCTAGTGTGACCTAACACACCAAAAATGCTCAAAAAATGTCTCTTGTGGAATTGTTGCTGACCTTGTTCATAGATGATGGTGGTGTTTCCCAATGTATCCTGGGAGACTGAGGCATTTTCTATCCCCTGCATGGCTTGTAGTGTTGAAGAATCTACTGTAACCTAATAAAGGAAAAAACAGACACAAATCAATATCTCCCAATGCCACAAAATATAACAAATGCTAAAATTAAATCCAAACTGAGCCTGCGAGAAATAACAGAAAACTTCTAACAGACTCACGATAGTGTTCTGAAAGTCCTGTGTGCCATCATGTTGTTGTGTACTCTCTTCTGTCTGCTGCAGGTTGATGAAGGGTCTGCGTTGTCTCTTCACTGACTCTTCAGGGTGAGCCAGAGCCCACTCTTCAAAAGCCTCTGGATGACGACACTGCACATGTTGACGCAGGTTCTTCCTATGTTTGGTCATGAAGTGACACAAATCACACGAAAAAGGCTTCTCTCCTGTAGAGATTTAACATTAATAGGTATTATACAGTTACATGAATGAGGCACACATAGAAACATGCTCAGTTCAAATAAGCTTTTTGATGCCCTCTGCCACACAGACCTGTGTGTTTGATGGCCAAATGGGAGACCAGGAACTCCTCTTTAGAAGTGGAGTATTTACAGTAATCACACTTGAAGGGCCTGTCATTGGTGTGGGACAGCTGGTGGTTGAGCAGCAGCTTCTTATTGTCACAAGTGTAGTCGCAAAACTCACACTTGAACCTGGCACATACACATCAAAGTGTTTTCATTACGATTATATAATCATACCAATATCAAACAAAATGAACTGTTCTACTCTAAATTGCTAACTAACCACTGCTCTGATGCATTTCTGTTTTTGACACACTGACCAGTACAAGAGAAAGTAAAAGATGTGGAATAAAGGTTTATACTGACTTGCTGTCTCCAACACTCTGGATGTGGGTCAGTAGGTGCATTTTGAATGTGTACCGCTTCTTGAAGGATTTGCCACACTGCAAATTCAGAAAGAAGTCATCAACACGAGATATGGACAACTTCACTTTGCATAAAAAAGTCTATAACATGAAATATGCACTTGCATTCCTGTAATGATCATCACAAAAATCACACATAAATTCATTATAACAAATTATTTTTACAAAAGTACAGGAAATCCTACAATGGTCTTGTGTGTGTGACCATCCCATATTCTTTAATTAAGTCTCTTTATCAGGAAGGAACACGTAATAAGATTACAATTGTCCCTTTGGTTGTGAATTCTCAAACACAGCGACATGGCCCTTGTAACCGAATGTTCTTCTCTTACATTTGAAAAGTGTTCTTGAATTGTAAAATTTCTGATTTCTGACCTTATCACACATGTGTGGTTTCTCAGAGCTGTGGGTCTTCATGTGCTGGGTCAGTCTCTTTTGCATGGGATAAACCCTGTGACACACAAGGCAGGGGAACTCGGACGCCTTTGGCGCCTGTAAAAATTAGCACAAAAGCCACAATGCTGACACAGCAAGTGTCCCAAAAGACAGCAGCAACTGGCCAAAGCAGACTGCAGTACTTCTGCAACAGCATTAGAACTGCAAAATACTATTATTATTTTGAAAAAAATCTTACCAACTCAGTCTTCCTTTTCCTAGAGAACGGAAAAGAAAAAAATCAGTAACAATATAAAAAAACCCTACAAGATATGTTGTGTATTAGCAACACTTTATTGTGTATGTACATTGTTTGAAGAACTTACTTCTCTTTGCTGTGGACTGCTGAGTGCCGAATGACATCTTTCTTGTAGACACTTGAGTAATCACACTCCTCACACTTGAATGGCTTGGTGCCCTCATGATTGAACATGTGTTCCTGCAAAACAGGCCTCAAGACATTAAAGAGACATGCATGTAAACTGAGCTTAACCTGAATGTTGTGTACTGTTTTACTACAGCTGACCTTGAGTGAGGACCAGCGTTTACAGCGATAGTTGCACTGAAGACACTTAAAAAGCTCTGGGTCATTGCCTTCATGAGAGTCCATATGGAAACGCAGATCTTCTTGAGTGAGGAAGCGTGAGCCACAAATCCAGCAGTTGTGAGGTCTCAGAAGTGGTTTGAGGCATTTATAGTAGCGACTGGAAGATAATGAAAAGAATTAGGCTGTTATGAAAATTCCGTAATACTACTGGTAACATAACTGTATTTAATAATTTGATACTTACTTTCGGTATGTATATCTCTTATTCTTACAGCGAAGGGAGCGCTTTGAGGGTCTGCCTCGTTTCCTTGGGAAGAACTCCTCATCTGACTGTGTGTTGGATGAAGGGTCTTTGTTTTCAGAATCGGATTGGCTTATTGCAGCCTCAGCAGTATTTCCATTGGTCTCCACAGCAGGACCATTTCCTAACCCGGAAGAGCTTGCCTCTTCAGGTGATCTAGCATCAGCGCTAACCCTGGGTTTCTTAGCAATACTTTCTGCTTCTGCAAAAAAAAAATGTATGAAAAAGAAGACAGTAATCTAAAATATATTTTGTAATATTGGCTTTCCTGTGCTGTTTTTTTTTTTCTCCATGAAATTAGAAACCCACCTTTGCTCCTGCAGCCTTCTTCTAAAGAGAAATATTTCCTCGGGCGGCCAACCTTACGTCTAGGACGCCCTTGAGAGGAAGAGGAAATCGGAGGAGCTGGCTTCTTCAGAATGGCAGGTGGTCTGCCTTTGCAGTCCTCATCAGCTGGGTTGTAGTCACTGTCCTCTGGAGATAAACAGAAGAGCAGGGCCACAAACAAATGAATGTAAATCTTCTCCTGTGACTGATTCTTTAACTCATAAAACTAAAAATGTCTGACTGGGGCTTTAATGAAAAATGTTCCTAGCTGACCTTCAGGATCATCAATAGCACCAGCATCAACAATATCATCCTCTTCTTCTTCTCCCTGTTGATGCTCAGCAGCCTTCACCTTGGCTGCCTTCCTTGCTTCAGCTTCCTCCCTCTCTGCCTGGCGACGGGCCAATGTCTCACTTTTTGGTGGCCGTCCACGTTTACGCTTCTTTGGCATGTCTCCTAAAAAAACATTGCCCAAAGAAACATAAATTAGATATCTTATGAGCAAAGCGATATCTCACCGCGATCCATAATCAACTACCTTACCTGCTGGTTTAAAGTGTTTGTCTCTCATGTGGTTAATGAGTGTGCCTTTAGAGGCACTCCTGTATGGACACATCTTACACTTGAACCGCTGTACAATCACTACTTCCATCATCTCCTCCAACTCAGCTAGATTTAGTGGTCGGTCTCTGGAGCCTTCCACCACCGTTGACGTCTCCATCTCCCTGATCAGCCCAGCTTCATCCTGAGGTCCCTGGGAACCCTGAGGCTCCTCTTGGCTGGGTGAGCACTGCTGAGCCAGTTCAGGCTCTGCATTGGAGGTGTATGTCCCACTGCTGCTAATGTAGGGCCCAGGCTGGCTCTCACTACATTCCAGTGCCTCAGGAAGCCCGCCTGAACCTGCTGTGTCTGCTACAGGGTGGTCTGATGAGGAGCTGTCATCAGCGTAGAGAGAACCCTCAGGGCCATTGCTGTTTTCCATGTAGCAAGAATGCTGGGGCTGCTGCTGGGAGTGCTGTGGCTGATCTGGATCCTGGTTCTGTTCATCATCATCATCCCTAGATTGGTACTGAGAACAACCCGGTTGCTCAGAGTCTGCATAATGTCGACTTGTCTGTGTCCGGTGGTCTGCACTACTGTCAATGTAACTGCGTGAATGATGTGGCCGTTCTCCATCGTCCACTGTGCACTTGAGATACTTAGTGCTGCACTCCACCACATAGTGACCTCGGCTGGTAGGATTTGAATCAGCCCCACTGCATTCCACATATCCAGGCAGGTCCTGGTCACTGTTATCTCCGCTGTAGTCGGGGAAGCCTGACTGGGAGCGTGTCTGATCCGGTTCCTCACCTGAACACTCCACATAGGATGATGAAGACTCCCCTGTCTGGTCTGGACCATCTGCACTGCAGTCCATGTATTGGGAGGGGTGGGAGTGTTGGGGCTGGTCAGGCTGATTGCTGCTATCCTCTGGGTAACCTGAGTGACCAGGTTGATCGTCGGGCTGGTCAGGTTCAAGGTTGCCCGGTAGGTCTCCCTGGTCCAGACAGGTGGAAGTGGGGCCCTCAGTGAGAGCTTCTATGGCTATACGACCAGACAGGGCCGAAGATGACATGTGGGCTACCATAGGAGCACCTATAGCAGGCAAATACATATAGATGAATTGTACAAAATTTATTAAAAAGGATTCCCATGTTCATCAGCTTAAGTGAATTTTAAATTATTTAAAAGTCCAAACTTACTTATAAGAAGATTAACCCAAAGTTGGTTCTTTACATTCACATCAAGTAGACATGGAAATATCACATTATATAGCACCCTTACCATCATCTGGTCCTTGTAAGATCAGATATTGGGTTGTTTCTGCACCCCCATCTTCGGCACTGGTCACAGCTATGCAACCTAATAGTAAAACAGTAGACAGGATCAGATACGTATTTGCTTTTTTACTGTGTAGTGATCAAAATGACACGTCCTTAAGTTTCTTAAGCCTAACACATAATAGAAAGTGGAGTAACAATAGGAACTACCATTCATGATGTCAGGGCCAATGGTGGACTCTATGATCTTGTCAATGGCAGATCCCAGGTCTGATGAGGTAGAAGCAGTTGAGTCAGAAACCATCATAGTTCCTTCAGACACAGCACTGGAGTGGACCAGCACTTGGGCTGACTCAGACACCAGCACTGACTGAGTCACCGTAGAGACGCTGGACACGCTTGTAGACTGGGCCACTGAAGAGGAGTCTGGAAGGTGGACTGATGAAACTCTGACATCTGTACTGGAGCTTGTTTCTGGGATGAACACCTTTACAGGGAAGGGCAAGAACATGATGGTGATATCAGGAAATGTTTTGACCAAAACCTATGGTACATGCTATATCTGGTTTTCTTTCCTTTGGTACATGGTTGTTTTCTCCCATATAAGGACACAAAGTCATGATTTAATTCAATTTAATATGCTTACCATAAGTCCCTCTGAGCTCTGCCCCACATGACAGTCTGACTCTGGAGCCTGTGCATGAGAGGCAGCAGCATCACTGCTGTCTGCAGACATGGCCTCTGAAGACTCCATACCCATCCCACTTTCAGATGGCTCCTCCATTCCTGAGGGGCCTGCATCACTGCTGCTCTCCACCTCATTCTCCTCTGAATCCATAACTATCCACAAAATGCAACATAAACTCAATGTTATATTTGAAGAGGGTGTCATATTTAAAGCATGCCTTGAGTAGCATTACTGCTAGTTTACAGTATTAAGATTAATACAGCTCAAGCCTAGTCCCTTGTCACTTTCCCTAGGATGCTTGTTTGTCATTAATGTCAAGAATGTTTGTGAGACTTGACATTTTATGGTTCCAGCTAATTTGTTACTGGATAAACAACAACATATGGAAAAGCTTCTAAAACAAATAGTAGCGACCTGGAGATGTGCAGAGATCCTGAACAAAAGAAAATAAGTTTGTCCAGCTTTCTTAGCTGTGGTGACATAAGTCTGTAGAATATGGAGTAAAGTTATCAAGAGTACTCCCATTTCTGAAGGTTATTGTCTATTATCTTTGACAGATTGACAACCAAATGAAAATCAAGATTAATTAGGATTTTGTGATCAGTTTTCCTGGTTTTCAACATCCATCCATCCATCCATTTTCCTCCGCTTATCCGGGACCGGGTCGCGGGGGCAGCAGTCTAAGCAAAGATGCCCAGACTTCCCTCTCTCCAGACACTTCCTCCAGCTCCTC